AAAGTTTCTGAATTGTCCCCATTTGTCTCTCAGAGGGTCTAAAAAGTCCAAACTAAGCCATTTTTAATGACTCAATCTTTTAGACCTACTTCAACTGCAAATACACTTATCAAACACAAATCATATTGTGGGGGATATGACACTTTAAAGGCCTTTTATTTGTTTTTAACTGAAAAAAGAAAGTAAAACCTTTTTTTTTGTTTGACAGCTACTATTTTGAACAGCAGCGCCTTCTGGAGGACAAATAAATATATCCAGTATACTTAAAATTGAGGGGTAGTAATCCAAAATTAACTCTTATCATAAACGAATGCACATGATGATAAACGTGTGAACATATATAGGCTGACAATACTTTAGTTTGGTGCAATTTAGAGCACAAAATTATAAGGTGCACTATAGATTTCAGTTTCAACCTAAATTACAACTTCAATATAAACGACAATATAAAACGACAACTCAACGATTTCTTTTCACTAATCGTTACTGTTCTAATGTGAAGTATTCTTTAGTGTGCTCGAACTGAATCCACACATAGCCGTTTCTCGACACACTCGTGACAGTGACCAGATGATGGATTTTGAAGAGGAACTACAAGTTCAGAGCCGGTCACATGACACTGTGGACTAATTATCAACCAGCTACTATGAAATGCTTTCCTCACACATTTTTCTCCAACACGTTCGATTTACCACACATGCACATAAACAATACTCCTACTCACCCTCCTCTTAGCTAGCTTTAATAATAACTAATAGCTTAAACTATTAGCGACGAGCTAACATTGGGATCTTCTGCCACTGCTAACCAGGGTGCTAACATTGAAGCTAACTCATTGTCCAACTCTCCTGTGTTTAAGTAAGATCATTTTTTGCACTCCCTCGTTCACGTCCATTGGTGGAAACGAGAAATAACAGCGCAAGCTACACGGGAAAGCTAAAGATGATCCAGGATTCGTTCGGGACCTGTCGTCTGCAGATTCGGTTTGCCGAGCGGTCCCTTTACGTTGAAATTAAATCAAAGAAAATCGTGACAAGCGGCGAAGAACGACTGTTGGA